TAATACATTGGTACTCGTGTCTCGTAGGACACGCTATGAGTTGTGATATGGAGACAATATTGATATGATTTAAGGACAATGGGAGTTAGCACCCACCAAAGCGTGGGTAGCCACATATAGTGGCTAGTGACTCTCCCTGTGGTAGGAGGTCCCTGACAGTGAGTCAGTCAAGGTAATAGTGTTGAAGGGTGTTAGTGTTGGGACAGTTACAGAGTTTACAGGAAGAGAAGTGCAGGTCATCCCCCGCCTCAGATACTTGCCAGATAGGTCTGTATCCTAACCTAATGCGAGCAGAGACAACATTATGTCTGCGGACCATAAGTCCATTCTGACGATACTTGTGTGGATAAGGAAGAAATTGGTGATAATGTTGGATGGATATAATTTCAGTCCGTTCACCGTCCCTGCGATGGATTGTAGGGAGAAGAGCGGCTGAACGTAGTCTCTTTCGGTAGGTCATGTTGGGCTTTTATTTAGGCCATTATTTCGAGAATCAGTTATTAATTAATCGCAATAGAAAGATTTGCAAATAACCATATGTAATGCTGTGTGTCTTTTGTTTATATCTTTAGTTAACTATTTTTTTATATAATTTATTGTGGATTTATTTTAATATTTGAGACAAATAATATTTTTTTGTTTTTTTTTTACTTTCTGTATTTGAGTACTTTATTAATAAGATACTTTTTTAATTGCACTTGAGTACATTGAACTTTGGTTACTTTTACTTCTATTTGTGTAACATTTTGCCAATGTTACAATACTTTACTTAAGTAACAAAGTGCGGTACTTTTTACAGCGCTGCCCATAATCCTGAGGTATCTCAGGTAAATCCCAGACTCGACCATATATTGTGAGAAACTGTGACAATTGTGACATCCAACAAGGGCGATCTAATTCTTCCTTAATCTGAATGTCTAGAAGTGAATATCATTTACTTTAACATTATCACATCTCTAAATGGCTTCATTATTTTATTCAACACAGTGCCTGTCTCGTTTATCCGAAAGTAACCCAAGCAGGATAGCGAGAGAGAGAGCTATAGGTGGTTATGTCATGAAACAGGTGTCATTAACTTTCAAAATACAGGCTACAGGTGTAATAGCAGTGGACAGGTCACAAGGGAAGGTCTTTACAGACATCCATCTTTTAATGTCAGCTACACTAAGGTACACTAAGGGGTGTTGATGGTACAGCGGTAACGTGCATAACTCTCACTAGTATGTCAAGGGTTCGAGCCTCGGCCTAGACACACGTGAGAAGGGTGTTATGCAGTGTAACCCTGCCAAGCATCACAGGTGTGATTTAAGTATTTACCAAAGATCAAATACCTACCATATCGCCGCCCACAGACCCAGACGCCACACACCTTTATACACAAAATTCCATCCCAGACTGAATCTTAAACAAAGACAGACTATGGAACGCCACATGCTCATGATGTCACGTCTCACAGTTCTCCTTGTTGGTTCAGGCCTAAGGCACTCAAGCTGTCATTGGTCAGTTTGAACGTGAACACTTGGGTGGGACAGTGTCCTTGTCCCGGCAAGCAGGACCCTTTGTTTCTTAACTGAATTTTCATACATATTTGCTCTAAAACGTGACAAATTTACTCTAAAGACATGGCACTGTTACAGGGGGGGGGGGGATCGACAACAAAATAGAGGTGTGAAAACTGACGTACACATGCAACCCTGTGAGACCCACAGAAAGTTCATGACCATGACCCAGAGAGTTCATAGTCTCACCCCAGAGAGTTTATAGTCACACCCCAGAGAGTTCATCGTCACACCCCAGAGAGTTCATCGTCACACCCCAGAAAGTATATAGTCACACCCCAGAGAGTTCAAAGTCACGCCCCAGAGAGTTCATAGTCACGCCCCAGAGTTTAATCACACACCAGAGTTCATAGTCACACCCCAGAGTTTACACCCCAGAGTTCATCGTCACACCCCAGAGGTTTATAGTCACACCTTTATAGTCACACCCATAGTCACACCCCAGAGAGTTCAAAGTCACGCCCAGAGAGTTCATAGTCACGCCCCAGAGTTTAATCACACACCATAGAGTTCATAGTCACACCCCAGAGAGTTTATAGTCACACCCCAGAGTTCATAGTCACGCCCCAGAGGTTTAATCACACACCAGAGGTTCATAGTCACACCCCACCCAGAGAGTTCATAGTCACGCCCCAGAATTCATAGTCACACCCCAGAGTTCAAGTCACGCCCCAGAGTTCATAGTCACGCCCAGAGGTTTAATCACATACCAGAGGTTCATAGTCACACCCCAGAGAGTTTAGTCACACCCCAGAGGTTCATAGTCACGCCCCAGAGAGTTCAGTCACGAGAGGTTCATAGTCACACCCCAGAGAGTTCATAGTCACGCCAGGTTTATAGTCACACCCAGAGTTCATAGTCACGCCCTAGAGAGTTCATAGTCACGTCCCAGAGTTCATAGTCACACCCAGAGAGTTCATAGTCACACCCCAGAGAGTTCAAAGTCACGAGAGTTCATAGTCACGCCCCAGAGAGTTTAATCACATACCAGAGTTCACACACCCAGAGTTATAGCCACCCCATGGGTTCATAGTCACCCCAGAGGTTCATAGTCACGCCCCAGAGAGTTCTTAGTCACACCCCAGAGAGTTCAAAGTCACGCCCCAGAGGTTCATTGTCACGGAGAGTTTAATCACACCAGAGAGTTCATAGTCACACCCCAGAGAGTTCAGTTTCGTAGTCACGCCCCAGAGAGTCACGCCCCAGAGTTCATAGTCACGCCCCAGAGTTCATAGTCACACCCCAGAGTTCATAGTCACACCCCAGAGGTTCATAGAAGTTCATAGTCACGCCCCAGAGAGTTCATAGTCACGCCCCAGAGAGTTCATAGTCACGCCCCAGAGAGTTCATATTCACGCCCCAGAGAGTTCATGGTAAAGCCAAAAGAGATTTTAAAGTCACTCCCCGGAGAGTTTATAGTGTCGCCCACAGAGCTCATGGTCACGCCACGCACAGATCATAGTTATTCCCCAGAGATTCCATGGTAGTGCCACAGAGTTAATGGTCACACACCAGAGATTTCATGGTCATGCCCCGGAAAGTTTATATTCACGCCCCAAAGAGTTCAAGGTCACACCCCAGAGAGATTGTAGTCACACCTCAAGAGTTTATAGTCACTCCCCAGAGAGTTCTTAGTTACACCCCAGAGAGTTTATAGTCACGTCCACAGAGTTCTTGGTCATGCCCCAGAGAGTTTATAGTCACGCCCCAGAGAGTTTATAGCCACGCCCCACAGAGTTCATGGTCAGTGTGAACAGCTCGGCTCCCGACTACAGCGCCTTCCAGAATATATTGAAGTCTCCAAAATTGGGCCACCAACAACCATGTCACCATCACCCATACCAAGACTATGGTTATGAACATCAATCTCTCCTCTGGCCTTGTCCCGCCTCCCTCCATTACTTTGGACCTCAAAACACTTCAAGTTGTGGACTCCACCAAGCTCCTCGGCGTCACTATAGATAACAAAATAAATTGGAAGACACACGTCAGTGTAATTGTCAAATCCTCCAGTTTTCATCTCCACCTCATCCGCCGTCTCAAATCCCTTGGAGTTCCAGCGCCCGAGTTCATAGTCACTCCCCAGTTAGTTCATGGTCACGCTCCAGAGAGTTCATGGTTACGCCCCAGAGATTTCATGGTCACGCCCCAGAGAGTTCATGGTCACGCCCCATAGAGTTCATGGTCATGCCCCATAGAGTTCATGGTCACGCCCCATAGAGTTCATGGTCACGCCCCATAGAGTTCATGGTCACGCCCCTAAGGTTTATCGTCACGCCCCAGAGTTTATTTTCACTCCCCTAGAGTTTATGGTCACGCCCCTAGAGTTTATTGTCACGCCCCAGAGTTTATTGTCACGCCCCAGAGTTTATGGTCACTCCCCTAGACTTTATTGTCACGCCCCCTAGAGTTCATGGTCACGCCTCGGAGTTTATCGTCACGCCCCAGAGAGTTCAGGGTCACGCCCCTAGAGTTTATCGTCACGACAGAGATTATAGTCATGCCCCAGAGAGTTCATGGTCACGCCCCAGAGAGTTCAAGGTCACGCCCCTAGAGTTTATCGTCACACCCCAGAGAGTTCGTGGTCACGCCCCAGAGAGTTTATAATCATGCCCCCGGGAGTTAATAGAAAGCGTAAGACTGATAGACAGATGACCATAGTTTTGAAGTAGACCTTGAAGTAGACCATGAACTAAATGACTACGGTTCTGATACACCGAGTCCTTTATTAGCTTAATAGAACTTTGCGATAAAGACTTACTAAACCTCTACTTTTTCTCTCTTTTTTTACTGGGATTAGCCCACCCGGGCACAGGCCACTGACCCACAACGTGGCCTTGGGGGCGACAATGTAATAATAATAATAATAATAATAATAATAATAATAATAATAATAATAATAATAATAATAATAATAATAATAATAATAATAATAATAATAATAATAATAATAATAATAATAATAATAATAATTCATAGTAAATAAAATTTATAATAAAAAATAAAAAATTAAAAATAGAATAATAATAATAATAATAATAATAATAATAATAATAATAATAATAATAATAATAATAATAATAATAATAATAATAATAATAATAATAATAATAATAATAATAATAATAATAAGTGAGAAACAATTTATGTAAGTTGTGTTATCAATAGTAAGAGAAACAATTGAGACCCTGCAAATGTGTGTAAATGAGGCAGAAAGTCAGATCAGCAACCTGGGACTTGGTCACAATTTTCGTGATGCCATATGGCAGCAGGGTCTACCATTAGACAACACATTATGCTTCCAATATCTTCCCAGGCGGTAGTACCCCTCTGTTTGGTAGCTGTCTACTTGTGTAAATTACCGTTACGCATCATAATTATTGCCATGAATTATTATCATAATACTTATGAGAAAAAAAGTTTTTAAACACAATTCCTTACAGTCCTGACAGTCTCCATCATAGGCGGAAAGGAACATGACGTTGAAGAGCATCACAACCCCGGCTGTTCCCACGACAAACCCCGCCCTGCTCCTGAGGATTGAAACAATACAATTCTAAGATTATTTTTAACATCAAAATAAAAAATTAAGTCATTAATAATTTAATAGGCCTTACTACCTATAAATAATATTTGTATATTGAATGATAAGCTTTACGTAATGTTTTATTCAATTAAGGCATGTATCCATGTAACCTAGACAAATTTGAATTCAATTAACTTTTATCAACTAACAACAAAATTTATGTCTATCTTAGTTCGTAAAGGCTCTTTGTTGTCTAATGTTAAATTAAAACAAAGAAGAAGTAAGTGTTTATTAAAGACCGTCTTTCAAAACACAAAAAACTAAATTATAATGACTTGTTCTGATACTTAACCAACGATTCTTGAGAGATATTAAACCTTAGTTCCGTCCCAAACTTGGATAAAAAAAGAAAATAGAAACTGCATCACACATAAATTTTGTCCTCTTAATGGTCACTAACAGTGAAGCTAGGGATCTGTAGGCTTTCCTAAGGGCTATAAAGAGATAATTGTGTGGAGGACGAAATAACAGAGACAAGGCGGAGTGTGTGTGTGTGTGTAATGAAGCGAGGAGCATAGCGTTCCCACCCTCCACTTTGCAATGTCCATTCTGCAGTACAGTAGTGAAGCCGTTTCTGGTTGCATATATTTTTTTTATACCAAAACACTGAAGGGGGAAAAAGCAGGAGGTAGCCTCAGCCCATCATCCATGAGGTGTCATTTCTAACTTTGTCATTTATAATATTTCCTGGTGAATGTCTTTTGAGTTTGAAAGCCCAGGGATATAAAATACTGTACGTGCAAAGCCTTGGCGGACATGACTTCCTAGAATATACAGCATACAGTATATACAACTATATTTTCTAAGGAAGCCTTAAGATCAGTACTGTATTCTCAACTCATAATAATCATGCTAAAAATGTTACTAATAAGACTTTTAAAAAAAATCCTAATAAATCTTACCGATAAAACTTGCAAATAAGGCTTACTAATAAAATTAACTTATAAATATAATTCATAAAACTAACTAACAAAAATTTTACCAAAAAATTATGAATAAAGGTTAGTAACAAAACTTATTAATAAAACTAACTAATAAAATTTACCAATAAAACTTACTAATAAAATTAACTTATAAATATAATTTATAAAACTAACGAATAAATTTTACCAAAAAAATTATGAATAAAGGTTACGAACAAAACTTATTAATAAAACTAACTAATAAAACTTACCAATAAAACTTACTAATAAATTTTACAAATGAATCTTACTAAGAAATATCACTAATAAATCTTACCAATAAGACTTACACTGTTGTCAAGTACTGATCACATATACGGGCACTATTTCACTGTTATCAAGTACTGAGCTTATATACTGTAGAGGCACCATTACACTGTTAGCAAGTACTCAGAATACATATAGGCTCTATTACACTTTTAACAAGTCCTGAACACATATACGAGCTTTGTTACACTGTTGGCAAGTACCTTTTTTTTTATAGGGAATAGCCCACCCGGGCACAAGTCATCGACCCACAACGGGGCCTGGGGGGGAGAGGGGGAATCAGAGTAAAAAGAAATTGAAAATAGAAGAGAAAAAGACTATATACAGTATTAATCTACACCATGACGATACCGAAAAACCACCTTTTTGAAGTAAGACAGATTGTATGAGTATCGAAAGCACAGAAGAAGGCAAAGCATTCCACAGTTTGGTTGTGTGAGGAAAGAAGGATGTACTTTAATGGGTTATACTAATGTCAAGATCTGCAAGAAGTGAAAATGTGGGTAAAAAGGAAAGCGTGCGATATGTGCCCAAATCCTTGTTTACACGTGGAATGGCAAATGATGAAAAAGTTAAAAGGGAATGGCTTGTGTATTCTCTAAAAACTGGAGATGTATTATGTGTTCCATGCAAGCTATTCAGCAAGCAAGTCTCATTGTTTACTAGTGGGTTTAGCGACTGGAAAAACTGCCAGCGTAGAGTTGCTGAACATGAAAGTAGCAAAGAGCATAAAATCCCAGTTACTACTTGGGGTGTGAGGGCAATTACAGCAAGGCGAATTGATTCCACTTTGGCTTTGCAAGTAGAATTGGAGAGAAAATACTGGAAAGAATTTCTATTGCGCATAGTTGAAACACTAAAATTTTTAACATCAAGAGGTCTTCCTCTCAGAGGTAGTGGTGAAAGAATAGGCTCTAGCAACAATGGGAATTACCTTGGAGTACTGGAACTCCTGGCAAAATTTGACCGTTTTCTTGCACAGCATCTGGAGAAGTATGGTGCTGTAGGTAGTGGAAAGACTTCATATCTCTCAAAAACGATTTGTGAGCAAATGGTCAATCTGATGGCTGAAGAAATTCACTCAATTATCATAAGTGAAGTGAAACAGGCCAAATATTATTCAGTTAGTGTAGATTCTACACCGGATGTTAGTCATACTGACCAACTTACATTCATAGTTCGTTATGTCAAACCTGATGGCAAACCTGTTGAGCGATTTCTAAAGTTCATAGACATACATGACCATGGTGCAGAGAGCATAGCCTCAACTGTTGTATAGTTAATTAAAGATGTTGGTCTTGATTTGAGTGACAATATGTCAGGCATTTACACTGGTCTCCAAGCCAGAATAAAGGCTATGAATCCCCTGGCATATTATGTCCCTTGTTCAGGTCACTCCTTGAACCTTGTAGGAACATCAGCTGCCAGCAGTTGCCTTGGGTCTGTTTCATATTCCAGATTTTTGCAAGCCTTATACAACTTCTTCTCAGCCTCCACACATAGATGGGATCACTTGAAAGCTGCACTACCTGCTGAAGGGATTGTAGTGAAATCTCTTTCAGAAACTCGCTGGGGTGCGAGGGCTGATGCTGTTAAAGCAGTGTTTTTACATTACCGTAAGATAAAGTCAGCACTGGAGAACATATGTTCTGACAGTAGACAAACAGTGGCTACAAAGCTTGAAGGTGAAAGCCTCATAAGACAAATGGAAGCACTTGAAACAGCACTTCTTACTGTAATATGGTATAAAATCTCAACAAGGTTTAATGCAACCAGCTTATCACTTCAAAAAGTTGAGACCGACCTTCTGTCGGTTGTAAAACTGTATGAGAGTTTGATCTCCTTCGTCTCAGAAATGAGACAGGGTCAGTTTGATGAAATAGAAGATCAGGCTAGGGCTTTTGCTGAGCCTGTCTACACAGAGACAACAAAAAGAACAAAAAAGAGAAAACATTTCTTTGATGAATCAGTTGGCACTGAAACTCAACTTGATCCACATGAGAAGCTCAAGGTGGACAATTTCTACACCATATTAGATTGCCTTAGGAATGAATTAGAGCACAGAGTGAATGCCTACTCAGAAATAAAGAAGCTGTTTCGCTTCTTAACGGAGTATGACAGTATGAAATATGATGATCTCAAAGCCCAACTGGAATTGGTTGTCAGTACCTATTCCAGTGACCTGGAAGCATCTGTTCTAGATGAGTTTTTTGCAATTCAAAGACATTTTGTCTTCTGAATCTGACAGGTCAGTGACAAACATCTCCACTTTGCTGAGGTCCAAAGATGGTATTTTGACAACTGCCTTTCCAAACATTAGTATCTTGGTAAAAATTTTCCTTACCATCCCCATTACAAATTGTGAAGGAGAGAGGTCTTTCTCTACTCTATGTAGGGTGAAAAATCACCTGAGGTCTACCATAGGACAAACCAGATTAAACTCACTTTCATTATTATGCATTGAATCTGGCCTCCTACAATCCCTTGACACAAACAGTATCATTGACAAATTTTCCATGAAAAAAGTAGGAAGAAATTATTTTGAAATTCACACAGTTTGCTGTACTTCATGTGCTTGCAAAATTGATTATGCTTCAAGTTAATTGTATTTCTTTCATTATTCCCATATATAAGATGTACAGTCTCGTTCAAGATTCTTCGAACACTGCTGGAGACAGTTGGCAACTCAAAGCCGTTTGTTTACTAGAGTACGTAGTATAATATAATACGAAACAACACAGCCCAACCATTAAATTAAGCACCGGGGACCTAAGTAACCAATCACGGATCACTTTTACATTTATTCATAATTTTTACTACTTACTATAGTAAACAAACGGCTTTGAGTTGCCAGCTGTTTCCAGCAGTGTTTGAAGAATCTTGAACGAGACTGTACATGATATAGAACTAATTTGATTAAAAGTAATGATGTGTCACATTGTGTTGAAATTCTTATTTCTTACATTATAATATTATGATATTATGTATTATTTGATGATATTTGGCCATTGCAAAATAATTACAGTAAAATATATATATATATATATATATATATATATATATATATATATATATATATATATATATATATATATATATATATATATATATATATATATATATATATATATATATATATATATATATATATATATATATATATATATATATATATATATATATTAACGGGAGAGAAGGGGAAGAGACAGAATGCTGCGTTTAGCCGTTACAGGGGTGAGAGGCAGCATTTAGAACAAGTCTTTCTGGGGGGTCGTTGCATACTGTTTCTCAGCACATGAGGACAGTGCTGTCTCTTTTAGGGGTCGATTGTAATATTTAGAAATTTCAGTGTAATTTCAAACGCCCAGTCATTGGCGATACTGAGTTCAAGGTCGTCTGAGGGAAGACAGCGCTCCCGCACGCAGCGAGAGTTTGTGGAACTAGGCCTAAACGATATTAAATGTAATTTACCGAGTTAATAGGGACGCGAATCATAAAATTAAATATCAGTTATTAAATTTAAAATAATTATAGATCATTTCCCAGTCTGAAAATGTTGTGTACGTCCTAATTAAGCTGTTAATCGTCTGGTAAATAAGTCACTCCTGAAAAGGGTGAACCAGTGAGCAAGCGTGGCTGGGGAGTGGTGAGACAGGTCAAGGACCACCTCTGTGCTGTACCCAGGAGAAACGGATCGCGTGAGCTGGTTCCTTCGTTT